ATGCTTCCTGGCCATAATTCAGCTCCCATCCTGTCGGGGCAGCCCCTCATCTGGAGCCTGGAGGAGGAGGAGGAAGAGGAGGAGGAGCAGCAGCAGCAGCAGCAGCTTCGGGAGTGGGGGTGGGATGAAAAACAGTAGGAGCACAGGTTGCCCAAGATCCAAAGAAAACCTGGATGATCTTGTGGGAACAGTGAGTAGAGGATTTGGAAGAAGAGATTCTCTGGGCAGGCAGGAACAAGCAAGAAGGGGTTTGGTACAGGTGGAGCGGGCAGGTGGAATTATAACATGGTGCTGTGGGAAAGTAGGCAGAACAGACAAAATCAAAGTGGGCACCCCTTTGGTGGGCCCTGCCAAAGGTATGTCACTAAGAGAACACATGAAAAGCTGGCAAGCAGATGAGCGGGGAACAAGGCGGGGGAGATATTAAGATGTGATGATGATGGTGATGATGATATTGGGAAATGCAGATAGACAGCAGGAGCGGGAGAGGGCAGGAGTGCAATGCTCACTCATAAACCTGGATGAGGCATATGGTGCAAGACAACCCCAATTTGAATAAATTTCACACTTGGACCCTGAGCTTATGGACCGGTTAGCCTGTGATACACAGCAGCAAAACCAGTAGAAGGTTGTCCAGCTCCCAACGTTGTCCTCTGACCTCCACACAAGTCATCATTTATACACACACAGATGTGAACACACACATCATATATAAATGTATGTGTACACAGAGTAAAGAAATCACATTCATGGCTGAGTGGGCAAGGGCCCTTGATGCCAAGCCTGATAACCAGGGTTTGATCCTTGGGTCCTATATAACTGAAGGAGATAACTGACTCCCAAAAGTTCTTTGCCCTCTACACCCATACCCATGTTTACACTTACACTCCCAACCCCCCAAATTGTTTAAAAAGTTTTAGGCCTGGTGTGGTGGCTCAAACCTATAACCTCAAGAACTCAGAAAACAGAGAAGGGAGTTCTCTTTGAGTTTGAGGCTAGCCTGGTCTACAGTGTTTGTTCCAGACACTAGGGCCTACATAATGAGACCCCGTGGATAGTACTGCATATGGTTCACATTACATTTCTCTTGGGGATGGATAGCTGGTCTGAAGAAACATGCTTCTGATGGGGCCAGTAAATGCATACCAGGAATCAATTTCTTCTTTCCTCTTTTTACATACTGGTGAGTTTTCAGGGGTTTTTAGCACAGGTGGAAAAGTCACAACACAAAGTCAGCATTGCATTCTCCCAAGACCACAGTAGGGGCCCTCTAAGCAACAGTTCTCAACCTGTGGGTCTTGATCCTCTTGAATGAATCTTTCAAATGAATCTTTCACAGTGGTCACATAAGACCATCAGAAATATCAGATATTTATATTGTGATTCATAACAGCAAAATTATAGTTCTGAAGTAGCAATGAAAGTAATTTTATGGTTGGGGTGGTCACAGCATGAGGAACTATATGAAAGGGTTGCAGCATCAGGAAGGTTGAGAACCACTGATCTAGAGTCTAGACATTCTCACAGCCTCTAACTACAGCGAAGTTTTTTTTTTTTTTGAGACAGGGTTTTTCAATTGTAGCCCTGGCTGTGGCTGTCATAGAATGTACTATATAGACAAGGCTGTCCTGCAACTACCTCTGCCTCCACTATGCCTGGCTAGGGGGGCAGTTCTTAATTTCAATAGTTAAGTCTTTCTGGAGAATACATTCAGTCAAAGTGAAGGGACACAGCTTTGAGCCTGCTTTGACTAAGCCTGTGGATGTCGGTATCTAGTGGGAAGCAAGGGTGGACAGAAGGGATAAGAGGTGATCCCAGAGGAAGACATAAAAGCAGCATGGAAGCAAAGTGAGTTTAAGGAAGACTCCTAAAGTGAGCGCGTGTGCTTCCCCCATCCCCCACCCCTTTTAATTTTGAGACAGGGTTTCTCTGTTTAACAGCCCTGGCTGTCCTGGAACTCAAGAGATCCACCTGCCTCTGCCTCCTGAGTGCTCGGATTTGAGTAATATCTATATCAAGTGGGAAATCCTGAGCCCTAGGATCTAATTACAATTGAATCTCACTTGCACAGTGCTGTACAGGAACTAAATGTACTTGCCTTTAGTCATCAGGTAAGACCTGCCCTGAGTAGTCTGTCTTAGCCAACTGATTTGTTAACTAGGGCACTGCTATCCAATATGAAGTCACCACTTACATGTTGGATTATGAAGGGTTGGATTGTAGCTGATGGGACTGAGGAACTAAAGTTCCATTTCAGTAAGCTCAGGTTGAGCCGCGTATGGGCAGTGGCCACTATGTCTCAAGGCCATTACTTCAGGTGTGTGCAGACACCACTGAGAGTTGGTTAGAAATGCAATCTCAAGTTCTAGCCAGACATCCCAGACTGTAGGAAATAATCTGCAGCTTAAGATTGAAAGTCTTTTAAGCAGCCACCTAGAGCAGGGGATCCAAATGCACTAAAGCCTGAAATTATATGAAAGTTTGCAAAAATGTGAATGTATAACTCTCTAATTTCTTCTCTGGAGATGGTGTCTATAATTTTCCCTTATTATATTTTTCAAAGTGCTTATAATCACAAACCAAAAACTTCTATCCTATGGGAATATAGCACCATGAAATGAGAAAGGCAATTTCACTGAATAAAGAAAAAAGCTTTGTTATCCTTCACTATGTAAGCAAATTCTTTTTTTTCCCTTATAGCTTTTACATTAATTAGCAACAGTGTGTGTGTGTGTGTGTGTGTGTGTGTGTGTTGGAAGACAACCTATGGAGGGCAGTTCTTGCCTTCCACCATGTGGGTTCTAGGGATGGAACTCATGTTATCCATTTTGGCAGTAAGCGCCTTACCTTGCCAGCCCCACAGCTTGGGAGCTCCTCTGCTTGCCTCTCACTTCTGATGTCTGAAACAAGATATGGTTCACTTTCCTGACCTGTTTTATTTTCATTTGAGACAAGGTCACATCTAGCTTGGGCTGGCTTAGAACTCACTACATAGCCTAAGATAAGTTCAGACTTCTGATCTGCCTGCCTCTACCCCACATTACCCAGTTTTAAGTGGTGCTGGGAATGGAACCTGGGGCTTTTCTTGTATGTTATCAAGACCCCTACACCTGAGCAACATCCTCAGCTCTCTCTTAACTAATTTTCATGTTTCAAAAAAGCACATACTAAATCTAGGTGTGGCAACACATGCCTATAATCCCAATACTTGTGATGGAGTGCAGGAGTTCAAGTGTAACCAGGGCTTTGAGTAATATCCTGTCTCAGAAAAATAAATAAAAAGCACATACATGGTGGTAAACACCTGTTATTTTAGCACTTGCAAAGTTATGGCAGGAGGAAACTGTGTTTAAGAACAGCCTAGGACACAGGTTAGTGAGAACCTGTTTCAAAATGCCAAGACAAAACAAAACCCCAAACCAGCATGGCCTGACACCCAGATCACAGTTATATGTAGCACTTGGAAAACTTACTTTGTTTAGTTTTTACATACATGCTCCATTTCATTCAAATTGGCCACACAATCTATCCCAATACCCAATATAAATACTACATGTACTATTGCAGCTGATGCCAACTTACTGATTTAGGAATCAACCAGGCATTTTATTTCCTTTTTTTTTTTTTTTTTGAGCTGGGGTTTTGCTCACTATGTTACCTGGGCTGGTTCCAAACTCCTGGAATTAAGCAATCTCTTGCCTTAATCTCCCAGTACATAGAATACAAATATTCTCACCACATCTGCTAGGATTTTTTTTTTAAACATTAGAGTAATGGTTACCTGCATGAAAACATGAAGACTCTGAAATCAACCAGTTTTAAAACACTTGAATTACATTTGCTCTTTGACAATTTGATACACATATAAAATGCATCAATTACTCTCACTACCCCATAGACCAATCTCTGGTCACCCTTCCACTTCTCCTGAGACCTTTTCTCATTGCATGATTGGCTCTTGACAGGTAGATACAGCTGCTGTGATTGATGGTTGTAATGGCCATGCCATTTCCAGAAGATAGCATTTCGTAGCCCTTCTCCCTCATCCTCTGGTTCTGATTCTTTCTGCCTCTCTTCTATAACATTCCCTGAGCCTCAGAGAAGAACCAGATGTTTTGTTTCCTGTTTGTTTAGTAACGGCTACAACTATACTATAGTTGTCTGTAATATGAAACTATGAATAAAACATTTCATAGGAGCCAGGCATGGCAGGTAGCTCATGCCTGTAATCTTAGTGCTTGGGAAATCTGGCTAGGATTGTTGAGTTTAAGGGCAGACTTGGCTAGTAGTGAGTTCTAGGGTAACCTTGGCTAGAACTTGTTTATTTGAAAACCAAACCAAACCAAACCAAACCTCTAAGACTGACCAAATAAAAATTGCCATTTTCTTTGCTTTGTGAGAGACTCTCACTATGTAGCCCTGGCAGGCCTGGAACTTGCTGGCCTCTAACTCACTGAGTTCTGCCTGTCTCTGCCTAGAGTGCTGGGATTAAAGGTGAGAGCCATCAAGTCCTGCATCTTTGAAACACACTTACACAGTTCTCAAGTGTAGACTTGGCCTCGGCCTCCCCAGGGCTGGCCAACAGGTGTGCCACCACTCAGCTTTATTTACCTTACTTTTGCATTAGGAAATGGTTCCAGTTTGTAAATTTGCTTCAGAGAATCCTTTTCCTATTGTTAACATCGAGGGAAGTGTCCTGACTTCCATGCTAAGGTGATGGCTTATTTCACATGAAATCTCTAGAGCTAAACATTATGTTCTCGAGTCTCAAAATAGCTTGAAGAACCTGCCTCAAATCATTATTGTTTCTGTTGATATCTAAAATGATACCTGTACAGGGAGCCAGTGAGATGGCTCAGTGGACAAAGGTGCTTGGTGCCAAGACTGATGACCTGAGACTCACATGATGGGAGGAGATAATCAACTCCTGCAATTATTCTCTGACATCCACATGTATGCTGAGATGTATACATGAACACACAAATAGGCACACACAGAGAGACAATAAATAAAGTGTAATTAAAAAAATTATGTGTACACATAAAATAAAATGTAATTTTAAAAAGACAAAGTGACATATACAAATTGGTGAAATTGACTGATGTGACCAGGAAAATCAACTCCTCACACAGGGAGGGCTCAAAGTATTTCACAGATGAGGACAGTAAGTTGAGATTCTTTGTTTAAATGTCAATTTACATGTAGTACTTGTAAGCATACACTTCCAATAGGAGACTAAGTCTTCTCATAAGTAACTGTTAGTTGTTTCTCACTCATTTGCAGTCTTAGCAGTGGCACAGGCCAGTACATAGAAAGAGTTAAATGCATTATTGGTTCTCACTTGTGCTTTCAGGGCCAGACCCAGGACACATGCCATTCATGCTCTGCTCCAAGCATTTCTTTACATTCCAGAAAGCACACTGGGAGGCCATGGAGGGATACTGTGGACTGGATAACTATGAACCCAGGCCCTATCATCAGTCATCCCAGTGGATACAATTTCACATGATTCTCACATCCCATACCGTATCAAGACACTTCTATGTCACCTCTGCCAAGGACCCTTCACTCACTGAGTGCCTTGCTTTCCTTTAGTGAGGGACAAGATTTTTACATGCATTCAGTTTTAGAATATTTATTTGATTTATTTGCATAATTAGTAGAAAGGAGTTCTTAAAAATATTTATTACATTTGTTTCTAGAAATAATAGAAAATAAAATTAGTAGAGTCATGTTACACAACTTGGGAAAGGCATATACATCCTTTCAGAGAAGGATTTTTTGTGGCGCCCATGATGGAAATGCAGCTGGTGACAGGTTAGCATAGAAGGAGCCCTTGTAAGTTTTCCACATTTTCTTTTTGATCACTGTTTACTTTTGAGTCCAGTGGAAGGAGTCCTGAAAGTAAAGGCACCTAGAACAAAATTAGACCTTTACCAATAAAAACTACATATTTATATCAAGGAAAAGGTTCACCTGAAAGACACTGATACTATAAACAGGAAAGCCACTGCAAGCTAAGATGTTTATAACTGCTTATCTGAATCCAACACACAGCCGCACAATGAAAACCATGTTGTGTTTATAAACCTGTGGATGTTTTGTTATCATTGAACCAACATGAGTACAGTGTGTTAAGTATGTACTCTAATTTCCATAGTCAAGATCTGTTTGCTGCATTTGCTCTTGAGATGAATCACTGTGTATTCCCATCATGGACTTATAAAAATTCCTGGTGTTTGAACTTCAGGAGCGCAGCAAAACCTAAAACTGCTCCTTTAAACCAAAGTCCCCTTTATTGTTATAAAGCCAAAAAGCTGATGCTGAACTAGGATTTAAGCACCTAAAGTATATCCTGACCAATTTATATCTTCTGAGCTATAATTAGGATCTTCAGGATTTGTATATGTGTACAAACATTGTAATTATTTCTTTAAGCTGATAAAAACTTTAAAAAATACAAATAATCCTTTACTATAAAAGTTTTAAAAATCAAATATGAGCCAGCAATTAAAAAAGACAAGAACAGGAGGTCACCGAGCAGGTACTTGTCTCTGAAGAATGCACCACTCATCGTAGCCAGTTTGTATTGAGCTGGGTCTGGTTCTTGATGCTGGTGTCCATTTTTAGCACTTCTCGAATGGCCATGGTGGCGTAAGTCGATGGAGGAAGAGAAAAGTCCATCTTCAGAGCCCTATACTTGCCTTCTGCCAGGCAAGAAAGAAGTGCACGGTCAAAGACGGAAAGTGGCTGCGGCTGACCAAAGATCCCAGACCCCCAAGCTGCACCCTTTCCTTAGGTTCTAGTCCCCAAGGGTCCTCAGAGGATGAGACCACGGAAGTGAGAGCACACGAGTGTATAAACCAGCTGGATGGAGGTGGCAACTTTATTCAGGATAACAGAGCAGGTAGGGCTGGAAAGATGGCTTATCAAGTAAAAGTACCTGCCGCTGAGCCTGATGACTTGAATTGGATCCCTGGACTCATCTGATCTCTTCAGTCCAGTGAAGAGCACTGGCTCCCACAAGTTCTCAGGTTCTCTCTCTGTCTCTGTCTCTCTCCTCCTTCCCTCCCTCTTCCTCCTCTCAAGCGCGCGCGCGCACACACACACACACACACACACACACACACACACAAAAAAAAAAAAAAAAAACTCTTCACATTATGCTGATTTACCAGAAGCAAAAATTGGTGGTGGTTTTCCTTCTAGGTTGTCCACATCCGTGTTGAAAAGTGGAATTTTAGGATCATTATATGCAACGACTTCCCTTCAAAATACATAAAGATAAGCATGAATGTGAACATTCACATATGGCACATTCTTCATCCCCATTTTTGGAGCAAGAAAAACATACAGGTTGACTTGTAAGCCTCCCCCAGAATAGAACAGGCCAGATTTTATGCATAACAACTGCTTTTCCCTTACTTTATAATAGATGACAAATGCTATCAGAGGGTGGAAATGACCTGAAAGGTTTCTCTAGCATAGTAGACTTCATTTTGTATAGGTGAAGTGCAAGTAACCATGGCATTTACATTCCCACCAGAGTAGGAACCACTGCCATCAACCTTCTTATAAGAGAAACTGCTCCCCAGAGCATGGAAGGTAAAATCCAACTATACCAACTTCATGCCCATTGCCAGGAAAAAAAGAGAAAGAATTTCCTGGCAATAAGCAACTAGTTCAGCATTTCATTTTAAAGTTAGAAAAAGCTTCAGGAAATAAATAAAAAAATATCAAAGGTATCTTTTAAAATAGATACATATTTTAAATTCTAATTTTATTTTGTATGTATGAGTGCTTTGTTTGAATGTGTGTCTGTGCACCATGTGTGAGTGCTAGAAGAGGGTGTGGAGCCCCTGAAACTGGAGTTACAGAACTGCCACGTGGGTGCTGGGAACTGAATCCTGGTCCTCTAGAGGAAGTTAGTGCTCTTAACTGCTTAGTTATCTTTCTAGCTCCAGAATCAAATGGAAGTTTTACAGAGAAAGGTAAGAAAGTTCATTTTCTGTGTATCTGTTCAGTAAGTCAGAGATGCCAACAAAATATAAAAGAAGTAACTTTCACTGCATGACTGCAGTCAACACTAAGTTCTTGATCACTTGAAGAATACCAACAGGTGGCAATAGTGACAGCAGTGATTGGACAGTCAACAGCTATGGAGCACTTACATGCTGGATTCGAAGCACAGAAACACACACACACAAAGCAAAACCTTGTGGTTCTATAAAATACTCCACTTCCGAATCCTCAGTCTATACTCACCAGCTGACATTCTGAGGCCGAATAATGATCTTTCGATAGGCACCCGATAAGGAGTAATCTCGAATTGTGTGTCTCATGTTGTCAATATCAAGATTGTCTGCAGTGAGCATTTCCCTGTAGGCTTCACTAACTGATACAAAACACAAACAGTTAATTGGAATGCAGTCTGTCAGCATATTAACTTGAACTGTAGTAAAAATGGCATAACGTGTAGGTCCAGTCAGACTGTCCTAATAAAGTCAGTGAACTATAACACCTCTGCGACTCAGCCACCAGGCCTAAAAGGTGTTGTCACCCTGTGGCTTTATTTTTGTAATCAGCTATGGGGCTTGTGGTATAAAGATCCCAAGCTAACTTCAAAAAACTTACATGGAGTTTCTAAATACAATTTATATATGGTGACTCTACATGTTTAAAAACAGGAGACCCTAGAAACCATCTGGTCCACCTCAGCCTACAGGAGATGGCTCTCTAATGTTCCCTTATGTGTCATCTGTGGGGACACAAGCCACAACATTAGAACGTTCCTCCCATTGCAAACAGGTTCTGTTTTCTTACAGGCTTTGTTGATGTCTCTGAAACATGGTAGATTAGCTGTCCTTACATACATCCATAAGCATTGGAGCTATAAGTCCTTTCATGTGACTTTGGTTCTTTCAACTGTGTCTCCTCTCTGACATTTTTGGTTTTATCTGCCCCAGAGTAAGAGGAATGATTCAACAGGCACTCCAGATACTTCATTTTTGTTGTTGTTTTTCTATTTATTTATTTGAGAGAGGGTTTCCCTGTGTAGTCCTGACTGTTCTGGATCTAGCTCTGTAGACTAGCTTGGTTGCAAACTTAGAAAACCACCTGCCTTTGCGTCCCTGAAGCCATGGGCCACTACACCCAGCCCAGATACTTTTTTTTTATTAAAATTTTTTTTCATTTTGTGGGGCAGTGGTGGTGCATGCCTTTAATCCCAGCACTCGGGAGGCAGAGCCAGGCAGACCTCTTTGAGTTCAAGGCCAGCCTGGGCTACCAAGTGAGTCCTAGGAAAGGCGCAAAAGCTACACAGAGAAACCCTGTCTTGAAAAACAAAATTTTTTTTTCATTTTATTAATTGTGTGTCAGTGAGTGAGTGAGTGAGTGAGTGAGTGAGTGTGTGTGTGTGTGTGTGAGAGAGAGAGAGAGCGCGCGCGCAGAGCTGAGTGGGCACTGAGCACATGTAGAAGACAGTGCACTTATGGAGGTCAGAGGACAACACTGTGGAATTGGTCCTTTCCCTGATTTCACACTGGTTCTAGGGACTTAACACATGTCGCCAAACTTGGGTGTCATACAGCAAGTGCATTTTTACCCATCATGCTGGCTCTTAATATTTTTTTTCCTTTTTGGAGACAAGGTCTCACTATATACCCCTGGTTGGCCTCACTCACAGTGATCATACTGCTTCTGCTTCCTGAGTGTTAGAATTAAAGGTGTGCACCACCATGACCTTTGTGACCCTTGATATTTTATAAGCTACCATCGAACTAATTTTTCTTTTCATGATTAAAAAAAATTTCATTTTTATTTATGTATTTCATTTTATTTATGTATGTGTATCTGTGTATAAGTGTATGTGTGTGTGTGGGTACCTATGGAGGCCAAAAGGAACTGGAAACCCCTGGGGCTTAAGTTGCAGGCAGATGTATGCTGGGAACTGAACTCAGGTTGTCTGGAAGCGTAACAATCTTTCTTGACTACTGGGCCATCTCTCTAGAATGTTACTATATAGCTCAGGTGTGGGAGCTCACAGAAGTTTCCTTGTGAGATCTGAGTTTGCCTGACACAGCAGAGCTGCATAAGGGGATCATGTGACCACAGGCAAGGTTACCAGGTGGTTGGAAGGGTCTGCACTTGGCTGTGCCTGGGGGGAGGTTTTTTGCTCCGCCCCTTGGTAATCCTTTAAAAACCCTTTGGCAGAGGCAATCAGAGCCCGATGGATAAGGACCTAGGTTCTCCTGAGGCTAGTCTATGTTTCTGTTTCTCTCTCTCTAGCTATCTTTCTATCTAATATTTCCTACTGTTCCTGCTCAAGAGTACCCTAGGGAAAAGTGGGGGTGAGATGGTGGCCCCACTCAGGAGCCTTTAAATAACAACCTTCCTGCTTCAGCTTCCCCAGTATTATGACAATGGCATGTGTTACTGCCTGAACATCTGACTGCTCGGCATGTCTTTGAGAATTTACATTCAATGCTTTCGGCACTTCTTATTTTTTCTATTACTAACATTAACTTCATCTTACATTATTTACAAATGTAAGACGATTTAGGAATATAGTCAATTCATTTCTTCAAGTTACATTAAACATTAAACATTAAAAATGCTGGAAATACAGGGACAAGGAAATAAGACAGCCTCGTCCCCTAAGACCTTCTTGGTACTAGATGTGCCTGTGTCATAGGTCCAAATGCTTAACTCCTCTAGTAGTATGTGTCCCTTCCAGGGCTACAGTGTTTCATGAATGGCTTTGTCAAATATTCTGCAAATTTACTTTTTCTTGGAACCAGCCAAGTTCCAGATACTGAGAGGAAAAAGAAGAACGGGAACATTCTTTTTCTTTCTGTGATGGCTGATTGAGGCTATCAGCTTGACTTGGTGTACCAATTAGTTTTTGTTAACTTGATACAAACTAGTGAGTCACTTGGGAGAAGGGAACCTCAACTAAGGAACTGCTTCCATCAGACTGGCCTGCGGTATCTGCAGAAATCATATTCCTGATTTCTGGTTGATAGAGGAGGGTCTAGCCCACGGTGGGTAGTGCTATACCTGGACAGGTGGTCCTAGGTTGTCTAAGGAAGGTAGCTAAGCAAGCCAGAGGAATCAAGCCCATAGGCAGCTTTCATCCACTTCCTCTATCTGCTCCTTCCTGAGTTCCCGTCCTGACTTCCCTCAATGATGGAGTGTGATGGGGTTGTGTGAGCCAGATACATCCTTTTTGCCCCAGGTTGCTTCTGGTCATGGTGCTTTATCAAAGGAACAGAAACTAGGATACTTGGGTGGCAAAATGGTAACCATTTTTTCTTCTCACATTTCAGCTGAGCCTGTCCCACCGCTATTGAAAGGGAAACACAGGAGACTTTGTTTTTGACCAGACCAATTAACTGGGCCACCGTACTAGTGCCAGTGATGGTGGTTCTGGAAGAGCCTGGCATTTGAGTCAGAGGACTCAGTGGGTAAGACTCACTCTTAATGCAGACATGCCTTGAACAGAGCAAAAGGCAAAAGAAAGGCAAAGGAGCTCCCTCTCCCTGAGACCTGGGGACACTAGCCCCAGACTGACAGAACAATGGCTTCTTTGGTTCTCTAGCATGCAGATAGCTATAATCAAGTGAGCCAAGGTCTCCCATAAATCCCCTTTCTTATCTCTATTAATGCTATCTGTTCCAGGAGATTCCTAATTAAAACAAGGGTTTGCATTTTTCTTTTTCTTAAAAGGACAATTTTATTAGAGTTTAAAAGAAAAACTCCAAAGAAGGCAAGCTGTAGATCTCAGCAGTTGTCCAGAGGAGGGAGATGGAGAAGAGGTATAGAGAAAGCCATGCCATGAGTCAGGCATGGAGGTCAGCCACATGGCAAAAACAAGGGGCGGAGGGTGTGTGTGTGTGCTCAGAGAAAGAATAAGGAAGAATAAGTATCAGAAAAAGCATACTTGTGCTCTGGCCTGCATCAAAAAAGAAAAAGGAAAAGTTACACCTCAGAAAGAGGCAGAATCAACAGACCCTCACAGGAGCTGTGTGGCAACCACCAGTTTTAGCATCTTGAGACTTCTCCTTGGTTGCTGCCAAGGGAAGCAGACTACACTCTTCCCTGTCCACCTTTACTTATTCTCTCTTGTTCCAGTCCACTCCCTTCTTTTCAGTGAAGTCAGCCAGTGTAGGTACCAGAAGAAAAGCAATGTGGATGACTTATTAGATTTCTATAAACCTGGCTAGAAGTATCCAATCATCCAAGGACTTTAGTCCTAATCTTTTTGGTTTGTTTTGAGACAGAGTTTCTCTGTGTAGCCTTGGCTGTCCTGGTCCTCAATCTGTAAACCAGGCTGGCCTCAAACTCATAGAGATCTGCCTGCCTCTGGCTCTAGAGTGTGGGGATTAAAGGGATTCGTCACCACTGCTTGGCTTCCTAATCATTTTCTTTCCTTTTCTTTTTGGTTCTCCGAGACAGGGTTTCTCTGTGTGACAGCCTTGGCTATCCTGGAATTCAGAGATTTGCCTGCCTCTGCCGCCCAAGTGCTGGGATTAAAGGCTTGTACCACCACCGCCCAGCTCCTAATCATTTTCTAACTTAAACAAACTCAAGGAATATAATATTAGTATGTAGAACTCTGGCCCTTTAACCAAGAAAAACTATTTTAACAGAAAAATACTATCCACAGGTCAGTGCTGGCTAAGTGTTGGGTTAGTTCTTTCAAACTGCTCAAAACCATTCAGAAATAATGACAAAAAGTCTGCAGAATGAGAAGTAATGCAGAGGATTCTAATTTCCTTTTCTCAGTTTGCCATCTAGCTTATAGGCTGAGGCAACCCTCCAGTGGATCACAGGCCATGACACTACAATGGGATAGCTTCTAATTTAAATTATCCTCCTGAATACATCCCTTTCCAGGAGACCATCGTGTGTGTGTGTGTGTGTGTGTGTGTGTGTGTGTGTGTGTGTGTGTGTAATGTGTATATATGCATATATTATATATGTGTGTCTATACACACATATAATATACATATTTCATAAAGTATATATGATATATTAATATTTATTTTTAATAAATTTATTTTAATATATTATATTTGTTATACATACACATATAAACTTTTATATAGGGCTCTCTATGTAGCCCTGGTAGCTTGGGAACTTGCTGTATAGATCAGGCTAGACTTGAACTCACATAGATCTGTCAGCCTCTGCTGGGATTAGCCATCACACTCAGCTGTTTATAGGTTTTTGAAGGCTAAATTTCTATTAAAGAAAGCTTTAAGACATGTTTCAAATATTGATTTTCCTCTGCTTCATTCTTGGCTACTGATAGCTTAATCATGTTATACTTGTTTTAAATAGTTGGCTCAAACATGGAACTTACTTTTATGTTTGGGGTAGATAACATCAAAACCAGGCAGGGGCATCACCACATCATGAATGGAGTAATTATTAACATCCTCTTCCTCAATGTAGGTGGCTGTGGCTGCAAAATCCCACAAGTAAACAGAAGGTTAAGAAAAAGCATTGTTGGGGACTGGAGAGATGGTTCAGCGGTAAAGAGCAATGACTGCTCTTCCAGAGGTCATGAGTTCAGTTCCCAGTACCCACATGGCAGCTAACAACTATCTCTAACTACAAGATCTGACACCCTCACACAGACATGCATACATATGGCAGAACACCAATGCACATAAAATAAAAATAAATAAGTTATTTAAAAAAAAAAGAAAAAAAAGAAAAAGCATTGTCATGAATTCAGGCTCCTAAGATTTATATGTCCCAGTGACTTGAAAGAACAAGATGTCCAGGTGCAAAGGCCCAGGAATCTTAGAATCCCTCCTTTTCCAATTAGCTGGAACCCTGAGCAAGGGGCTAAATCTTGCACAAACCAGAATACTTACCAGTAGTACTGCAACAGAGTAATGCAGGCAAAGTGTCTAGTGTAAGATCAGAAACACAGTAAACATTTCATAGGACAGAATATTAGCATTTCTTTTTTAAAAATTATTTTATTATTTTGTGTGTATGGATGTTTTGCCTGCAGTATGTCTGTGTACCATGTGTGGGCAGTATCCCTAGAGGACAGAAAAGGGTGTTGGATCCCCTGGAAATGCACTTATAGACAGTTGTGAGCCACCATGTAAGCACTGAGGATCGAACCTGGCTCCTCTGGAAGAATAGCTAGTGCTCTTTACAACTGAGTCATAGCTTGAGACCCACATTAACATTTCTTACGCTTACGTTTCAGACCATTTGATTATGTTCAGTAAAATCAGCTCTGGTCTGGTGCTCTCCTGAAGAAACTCTTTAAAACTGCCTGGTGACACAATGAAACGCTGAGACACATCCATAAATGTAGATATTTTGAAGACCCATATTAACAATTGTAAAGGACTTTTAGCCAATACTGGCCCAAAGTTTATTCTGCTACACTAGCTGGAGGCCCAGAATGGAGGCCCAGACTTAGCTGCTTACCCAAAACACATACATATTTTTTTTATTGGTGATAAAAACTATCAGCCTGAGTTCATGTGGCCTTTCCATCTCCCACTTACTACACATCTCTTTCTTAACTAGTAGTCATGCTGGATTTCAAAAACACTGCTATAAAATATCTGAGTCCTGATCTGGTTGAATGACGATAGTATATGCCATTTTACCTCCTTTGAGAACAAGGTCCCCTGGGACAGGTTTCAGACCGTAGTCTTCTATCCTTTTGCTCACCATGTTATTCCACACATAGCTTTGATAACTATGGATATACATTAAGCGATTATTTCTTGGTATCTGCAGAGAAGGGAGAAATAGGCAAAGAAACGATTCTGAACACTTAAAGTGCCATTTTCCCAGATATTTTGCTCATTTAATGGTAATCCTAACACAAGAAACTCAGACTTCAAATCTGATTGTGGGGCTGGGATGTAGCTCGGTGGGAAGGCACTTCAAAGTGTCCTGTATTATACACACACAGAGACTATGCTTGCTACTTCCTGTTGAACTCTCTTCCTTAGGTAGTTTAAAGCTCCAATGAAGATGATGACCAAGAAATGACTGGACAATGGGGTCAGACCAATGGCTCAGCAGGTAAAGGCACTTGTGCCAAGCCTGACTACCTGAATTTGATCTCTGGGGACAGATATAATATAAAGAGAGAATGAACTCTCAAATGTCCTGATCCTTACCTGTGTGCTCAAGTACATGCATAGACACAAACACAAAATAAAGTTTTAAAAGAAATGACTGTACATTGGCTTCTAAACTGGACAAATCCCTTCAATTACATTAAATTCAATTGAAAATTATATTTTCCTGATAACATTTAGGGCTCTTTCCAGTTTACTTTTTCCCCATCCTTATGTATTGAGTTATAACAAACTTTATATGTTCAATTGAATTGCAGCTCTCTAACAGTTATCAATGTTTCTCAGATACAGAAGAGATTTAATAATGCTTGATGACATTGATAAAATATTTCTCACTTTGCAAAACACTGTTGTACAGGTAAATAATTTCTGAATATTTGTAATTTGTAGACTTCATTTGATAATAGCCTAACTTCCTTTTAATTTAATATATGATATTTTGATAATGAAATCTACTGAAAAATAAACAAGGTTTTTAAAAGAAAAAAAAAAGAAAATTATATTTTCCATAGATACTTTCTTGAACCTCCAATGTTAATAAACACCACCAGCATTTCTCACATCTCATCATCTTTCAGGGTCAGAATGAGGCATACTCAAGTAAATTCCTTTGAAGACTACTAAAGGATTCTTATTTGCTGTTGTTTCAAAAATTTTTAAGTTCATGTTTAAAAAGCATTAGCCACCTTGAGTCAGTGCCTGATTCACAAATTTCACTCACTATGCCAAATGCAGAGACTATATTCTTCATTCCATATTTTGAAAGTCCTCGAAGCAGCTGACCTTCCACACACCTTTTGACAGGTAGTTTTTTGAGGGCAGAGGCTGGATCTTTGGTCTTGGCCCATTCTTCTCTACATTTCACCAAGTACCCCTTTTCAGCTGTAGGAAAAGAAAAGCTACCATCAAACTTGTCCAACAGAAAAATGTGCATCACTTAACATCTTTCATGGGGAACATAAAACTGAGAAAACATTCACATGTAATGAAAAAGCTCACAGTCTGCCCAAAAGCAAAAACATGGAACCCCTGAAAAGATTACTTCTCTTTGGCTCTGTAAACAGCAAGAGCTACTGCTCACCATCACCTCAGCTAAGGAGGTTTCACCTTCTCTTTGCCCTGTACTGTTTGCTTTAAAATGAAAAACAATTATTTTTAGCTCAAATATCAAATAGTTACCTAAAGTGAGTATAAATATAAATTTAACAATTTATAAACTATCAGTTAAATACCCTTTTTACAGTAAGGTTTTAGAGATATTTCCTGGAAAAAATTTAGTCATTATACTATGCTTTAGCAAAATGATCATACATACAAGTTTCCTATAAATTTAGAGAATTTGTAGTAACTGAAGAGAAATAAACTTATATTTAAACGTGCATGAATAAATTGGATGAATAAGGAGCTAGAATATTAAAAAAAAAACAAGAACTTTAAAACAACAACCTGCAGTTACTTTTACTTAAAGTAATTCCATGAATATCTAGCTATACACCCTATGCATTTTATTTTAACACAAACTTTTTTCTCACCTCCAGAACGGGGCTTCAGTATTAAATCCATGACTTCTGTCCAGGAATTCTGTAGAATAGCTCTAGAATTAAACAGCATTTACTTATTTAACCTTGCATAAGATAAGCTTTGTATGCTCAACTGTTGAGAAGGCAAGAAGAAACACCTATGAATTTACTAAATTTAAAAAGTTTGTAGGAAAACTATGACACAGACTTCAGTGACCACTATCTGCCATAGAAAGCTTCTCTGAGGCTAGAAGGATGGCTCATTTACTAAGAGTGAGTAGTGCTCTTGCAGAGGACTTGAGTTTGGTTCCCAGCAACTCACAGCTGCCTGTAACTCCAGTGGATCTGCTGCCCTCTTCTGGGCTCTATGTGCATTATATTCAACATGCACAAACCCACAAGCAGATATACACTCTGCAGAAGACCTGGATTCGGTTTCTGATTTCTGGATTCGGTTTCATTTATTTGTCATAAATGGGACATCATTTCATCTCCTCCAAAGAGCAGGGTCACCAGAAGAAAAGGGAGCGGAAAGAATATAGAAGCTGGAGGATGGAGTGGGAAAGGATCTGACTTCTGAGTATCACATGACTATTGTACTTTGAACTCAACAGCAGCTGTGACTACTCACACCAGATTCCCAGAAAACTGGTCCTGTTAATACCCTGTCATAGAATGGAGGGCACATTTTATTCAGTGATAAGTTGTCCATGCTTCTGTAAACAACTCTAATGGACCTCAATGGGACACATTTAGAACACATGTAAGTAAATGTGGAGAAAGCTGGGAAGAAGCAGGCAATTACAGTGGGGAGGGGGGAAGAGGGTGTGTGTAGAATATGACTGAATATATACATATACATATGAAAATAATGAAAACAATCAGTATGTAATTAATATATGCCAAGAAAAAACATCAAAAAAAGTTTAGATTGTCCTTTTGCTATGGGGTGTAAGAGTTTTTCATTTGTTGTTATATATTCTGGATTCATCTTCTGTTTAATTATATATTGAGATTTGGCATTTCACCTTAGGGTGATTACAGTAAATTCTATGACGGTAGGGAATAGTTTGACATTGTTTGGAACTCTGAATTAACTTGTCCTGGCCTTTGGCCATATTATGCAACTTCTCTTTCTGAGTAAATCTGACACCACTTTACTGAGCAATTATTTGCAGTTAATTTTCTTTGGGATACAAAACTATAGGGTTACATGGCTGTGCTTCTGCTAAATTAATTAAAAATACATAGGCTGATACAAACATTCCTTAAATATTCTGTGCCACAACAATCAGCATCTATATTATGCTAATCTGTATTTTCTATTAGTTACTGTAGTGGCTTTTCCTTCCTCAGTGATGGTGATCTAGTCTAGGGCTTCATGTATGGTAGGCAAGCACTCTTATTAGCTGAGCCACATTCTAGTCCTAAACTTTCCTCTTGTTCTTGTTCTAAATTAGCAGATCATTCTATGTTGCTAGCCTGGTCTTTCACAGTCCTAATCAGCTGCCCAGGACTGGACTCCACTGTGCCTGTCTGGTCTTAATTTAGAAAGATTTCTATTTATTAATTATTTAGTATATTTTAAGCGTAGAAATAGGTGCTGCATAAACACCATCTTCATTCTCAGCCTTCTGTGAAGTTGGTATTATTTCCACTTTACAGAGGAGTAGTTTGAGGCTCAGAACTCAAGCCTCACTTTACAATACTGCCTGAGAGAGGCACAGGAGCTGCCACACAGCAGACCAATCTCTCGAACCTTGTAAAATCACATAAGCAAATACAACTTGATACTGAAAAACTGGATGAGAGAAAACTCTTATTTCTACTATTTAATTAGTGTGCTTGGGAGCCCTCCTGAAGCACAACATCTGTACTTGCTGAAACAGAAGAACAAGTGTTCTCAGATAGCATTCAGTGAAGCCACCATCACTCTAACTCCCATATAATTTGTTACTTTATGTGGCAATCACTGCTGGACAGCCGGATCCCCACAGTATGTTCACAAAACCAATCTCATTTATTGGTGAGATCTACTGTAATAATTTTTACTCTGGAGGGCTTTCCTATTACCTAAGTGTGAACCAAGCTCTTCTTCTTTTTTTTTTTTTTTTTGGTTTTTCGAGACAGGGTTTCTCTGTGTAGCTTTGCGCCTTTTCTGGGACTCACTTGGTAGCCCAGGCTGACCTCAAACTCACAGAGAACTGCCTGGCTCTGCCTCCCGAGTGCTGGGATTAAAGGCATGTGGCGGCACCGCCGCCGCCGCCGCCACCCAGCAAACCAAGCTCTTAAATTAAATGGTATCTTCTAGGGTTTTCTTGAAATGGTGGGGGCAGGGCAGATGAAAGATTAATCAACTAGAACTTGTGTGTTGAGATCATAGTGTGCATGCCTTGGGTCTGGGTAATCTGGGCCTTTGTTACCTAGCTTTTTTTTTTTTTATTTTTCTTTTAAAAGACTTATTTATATATTATGTATATAGTATTGTGTCTGCATGTGTCCCTGCAGGCCAGAAGAGGGCACCAGATCTCACTACAGGTGGTTGTGAGCCACCATGTGGTTGCTAGGAATTGAACTCAGGACCTCTGGAAGAGCAATCAATGCTCTTAACCGCTGAGCCATCTCTCCAGCCCGTTACCCAGCTTTTTATGGTTGGCCACTTACCTGCTGAAAAGTAAAAGAGAAGCCAGGTGTGGTGGCACACTCCTTCAGTCCCAGCACTCAGGAGGCAAAGGCAGGCTGATCTCTGAGTTTGAGGTCAGCCCGGTATACAGAGTGAGTTCTAGGATAGCTGGGACTACACAGAGAAACCCAGTCTCAAAAAACCAAAAAGAAAAACAAACAACCCACCTCCCCCCCAAAGAAACCTAAAAGAGACCACCCCCCCAAGGGCAGTGAGAAGTGAGAGGTTAAATTTAATATTTAGGTCACATTTTCAACTGTGTGCATATGTGTGATATACATATGTGATAGAGGCTAGAGACCTTCCTCAGTGGCTCTCCACCTTATTTTTTTCAGACCATTTTTCACTGATTAGGCTAGTCTCATTGGCCAGAGAGATCAAGGGATCCACTTGTCTCTACCTTTCCAACACTGGGGTTACAGATGTGTTCTACCACACCTGGCTTCTGTGTAGTGCTGGGGTTACAGATGTGTTCTACCACACCTGGCTTCTGTGTAGTGCTGGGGTTGCAGATGTGTTCTACCACACCTAGCTTCTGTGTAGTGACCCCATGCTTGTGTAGTAAGCACTTTACTGAGCTGCCTGTCTCTCCAGACCTCATTTCTTTCTTTCCTCCTTTTCTTTTTCTTTCTTTTAGAAAACACACTGTTACACTGTTGCATGCATTAACTGAAATAACTGAATAAATCTTACAAAGAGCCTATGGATCAGGTGTTCATTTGCCCTAAACATGACAGAATCCTGAAAGAATCAACACACCATTAACAAAAATCTTATTTCTTTTATGAGAGGCATCCTTTAGATAGAAATTACAAAATTAAATACAAACCTTTCAATTAACAAAACTTTCTGAATCGTCTTCTATATAAATCACCAAAGTACTCCATAGGTAGAGTCAGGCAGACAGATCTCTGTAAGTTCAAGGCCAGCCTGGTCTACACAGTGAGTTCCAGGACAGCCAGGGCTACACACTGAGATAATGTCTTAAAAAACAAGACAAAACAAAACATAACTCAAAAGAATAAAAAGATAAAAGTTAGAAAATCAAATACATACCTTCCAACTTGGTACGTAGGGACAGCTGTAGTCCCAAATCTTTGCATGCCATAGTAGTTAATGAAGCCAGTCTCCTTCAGAGATTGCATGGCTTGCTCTACTTGCTCATCAGTTCCTGTTATATTCCTGCAAGGACCCAAATTATCCAGAGGAAAAAAATGGACAGTCAAACTCATTTTATGATGCACACTGTAACAGTGGCTTCTGTATCTTACCTTTGCAATCTTTTCTGATTGCCTCCTGAGGACTCTGTTGATTTGTTAATCAGCTTTTTTTGGAGATAGGGTCTCTCAGTGTAGTCCTGGCTGTCCAGAAACTTGTGTTGTCAACCATACTGGCCTTGAACTCACAGAGATTCCCCTGCCTCTGTGCATGAACCACCACTGACCAGCTCATTTTAATCAGTTTTAAGTGCAAATTATTGTAAGATGAAGCAATGCGGTGTGGATTCTCACACTATGTAGTTCCCAAACTTGTCCACTTCCTCCAATGAAATGTATTTATTATTCTGCATGCATGTCTTGCTATATAGCCCCTGGCCAGTCTACAAACCATGTAGTCCAGGTTGACCTTGAAGGAGTCATGTGATCTTCTGCCTTTGCCTCTGAGTCTGGGATTATAGGCATGTGCAACTATGCTTGATCCCAAACTGAAACTTATGCCAACAAATAACTCTCTCCCAAAGTAATCTTTCTATGAATGTGTCCATTCTAGGTACCTCATAGGCCGGGCGGTGGTGGTGCACACCTTTAATCCCAGCACTCGGGAGGCAGAGCCAAGGTGGATCTTTGTGAGTTTGAGGCCAGCCTGGTCTACAAAGTGAGTTCCAGGAAAGGTGCAAAACTACACAGAGAAACCCTGTCTTGAAAACCAAACAAAAACAAAACAAAACAAAACAAAACAAAACAAAACAAAACAAAAAAAAAAGAATTAAATCACAGGCTCTTTATCTTTCAAAACTGGGTCTGAAGAACAATGTTTCTGAAGGCTATAGGAAGCTTTTGAGGGAGGGATAAAGACCATTTATCAGAAGAAATGCTACACAGTATTTGTTCCCTACTCCTACAGTCCTTGTTCTCCCAGCCCTTCCCTCTGTACCAGCTGTCCTCTACCCTATCAACACACAGAAACAGACCATGGAGACCCAGATAGCCAGCCCAGGTCTCCTGTCTACTCCTACCTGTAGCACTTTACCTGAGAACAACAGTGAAGTGATTTCCTTGAAGCTCTCCCAATTTCAGAGGGGTTTTCTGATAGCTGAAATTACCCAACTTGAAGTTCATCAAGCACTTATTCAGGTGGGCAAGTCTTTGTGCACTTATTCTTTAAAGAAAACAGGAGCAGAGAAAGGATCGTGAGATCCTGCAGAAAACAAGGGCACACCAAGGCTGTGACCATTAGAAAGACTGCAGAAGGTAACAAGGTGCACTTGTCCTTCCCCCTTGAATTACTCTTGTGCATAACAGTACTGGAATGATGGGGCTTAAACAGCAATGGAAACATAAGATGTACAGGATGCTACTTTCTGTGCACAGGGGGTAACAAAGGGGATGGTGGCAGACAGCAATCCCACAAGACTGTAAAGAATGGTCTCTAACATTCAAGAAAAGATTAGCCATAATTGGGCCAGTAAGAAAAATATTGTAAACTCATAACTAAAAGACAACCTTGGAGGACACAAAAATCATAAGAAGAAAGAAAATTAATTGGTTCATCCCTTGAAAAAAGTATTAGGTCTCTGTATTTCCTCATTCTTTTAAAAAACACATTGAAGATGTGTATAGCTAGAATCATACAAACCTGTATCCTGCTATCATTTTACACAAGTGTTCCCATGCTGTTACAATTGTTTCATTAGAAAGTGTTTGTCTTCCTCAACAGGAAATCTATGTAGAAAAGCAAATACTATACTGAAAAGTCTTTGCTCTGTCTTTATCCCCATAACCCTCCCCACTTGCAATCGATGTTAACACTTTCTTTCTTTTTAAATATTTTATTTTTAATCATGTGTATGTGTGTTTGTATGTGTAAATAAATACAGGTACTCCTGGAGGCCAGAGTCATTGGATCCCCCTAGAGCCAGAGTTACAGGAGATTATAAATTACCCAATGTAAGTGTTGGCAATCAAACTCAGGTCCACTGCAAGAGCAGTATATATTCTTTACTGATGAACTATCTCTCTAGCCTCTTGGCCTGGAAAGTTTTGAAGTAAGATTAAGATTAATACAACTCTCTCAAGAAAAGATGTTCATGTCAGAAGGTTTCATGTTAAGGGGCTGTTCTTGATATATTAAAATTATTAAAATGCTCATTTTTATTTTTATTTTGAAAATATATAAGGGAGGCTGGAGTGATGGTTCAGCAGGTAAGAGCATTTGCTGTTCTTACAGAGGACACGGGTTTGATTCCTAGCACCCACATGGTGGTTTATAACCACCTGTAACTCTCATTCCATATCTGAAGCTCTCTTCTGACATCCACAGGCACCAAACCTGCACATGTAGGCAAAATACTCATACATAAAATAAGATGAATCTAAAAAAACAACAAACAAACAAACCCCCCGCCCCCCCCCAAATCCTGTAAAGGCCATAGACAGGCCATTCTGGTCTATACAGCCAGTCCTGGTCAGCAAAGGTTACATAGTGAGATCCTGCCTAAAGACAAATAAACAACATCCAAAACAACAACAACAAAAAAAATATACTTTCCAAAGTACAATATAAAGATAAAAGGTACTTGCCAGTGTTCTCACCCCCCACCCCCAATGCCAGTCACTTTATATTTTCACCTTGAATGCTTCCATATGTATCTTTGGATTTTCTTGAATACAAGGTGAACTTTAGGTCCCTTTTTTCTACCATCTGGGCTCCAAGAATCCAATTTATTTATTTAACTATTAATTGTCTTTAAGAGTCTCTCTAATTTGGGTCATGAACTAGTTGTTTTCGATTTTCAATTATTAGAAACAATGCCATGATGGCTCAGAGGTTAAGAGCACTGGCTGCTCTTCCAGAGGTCCTAAGTTCAATTCCCAGCAACCTCATGGTGGCTCACAACCATCTATAATGAGACCTGGTGCAGCAGACAGAACATTGTATACATAATAAATCTAAAAAAAAAGAAAAAAGAAACAATGCCACATAACACATCACAGTGCCTAAGAACATGGTTTTAATTTTTCCTATGTCCATGTTTCCTTTGAAAAGACAGCTACTTTGTCCTGTAAGGCAAGGGGTTGAGGTTGGCTTGAGTCTGCCAGTAGCTTCCAGTATATTTACGTTTGTGTGTACCAATTGTATATTTATGCATACGTGTGTGTACATCTGTATATTTATATCTATGAATACGGGACTGGGGAGGTCTAGGTGTAGACCTCAGAACTGAGAGTCTGAATTCTGTTCCAAAGTTCTAAATCATGGAACTGTTCTACAGGCCTCTCAAGTTCTATCTATTATGGAATCTACTTTTAAAAACGAACTACTTGTTTTAAATAAGATAAGTAATGAAAATTTTTTGGTCTGAGTTTTTCAGATGTTACTGGACTGGACATTGTTAATATATATAATGGAGGTTTTATCTGAATCTGTCAAATGTTAATGGACTAGATATCATTAATGTAATTTTTGGCTGTATAATTGTATATACTTATTGGATAGTTTTTCTTGTATTAGTTATAAGCTTTCTTTAATTTTAGACAAAAAGAGAGGAAATGTGGTGATATTGTGTTCCCCAAAATATTGTGTACCTTAATAAACATTATTTAAAGTTAATTAAATTAGGGAAAACTAATGGGGCAATCTTGCTCTACACACACACACACACACACACACACACACACACACACACACACACACACAGTGAAGCTATGTAAATTTTTAGAATTCACCTATATAGGGCCAGAGACACGCTTCAGCAATTAAGAAAGAGCACTTGTACACACACACACACACACAGTGAAGCTATGTAAATTTTTAGAATTCACCTATATAGGGCCAGAGACACGCTTCAGCAATTAAGAAAGAGCACTTGTTGCTCTTCCACAACCTGAGTTTGCAGTACCTACACTGAGTGGCAACTCTCCAGACAGTGGTGGTGGTGGCGGCTGGCGCATGCCTTTAATCCCAGCACTCAGGAGGCAGAGCCAGGAGGATCTCTGTGAGTTCAAGGTCAGTCTTGTCTATAGAGTGAGATCCAGGAGATACCCTGTCTTGAAAAACAAAAAAACCAAAAAAACCCCATGGTGATATTTTATTTGTACTGAAATGTGATTTTATTTGTATGTTAATAAAGTTGCCTGTGGGTCAGAGCTAATAGCACGCCACAGCAGAAGCTGGGTGGTGGTGGTGCACGGCCTTTAATCCCAGCACTTGGGAGGCAGAGCTAGGCGGATCTCTGTGTGTTCAGGGATACAGCCAGCATGGAGACACATGCCTTTAATCTCAATACCAACCATAGATCTGGAGGTCTGTACAGACAGGCAGTGACTAGGAGGTCATGCGGTTGGGTTTACAACCAATGAGAAGGCAGAACAGAAAGTCAATAAAAGGACAGACACACAGGAAGTAGGTCTCTTGTGGAGAGGTAGGACAGCAGTGGCAGTGAAGGGTAAGGTTTTTAGCTCTGACCTCTTGGGCTTTTAACTCTGCAACTGACTCTGTGTTTCTTATTTAATAAGACGGTTACATCTACAAACCCACCAAAACAAAAAAAACTTCTAGCTCTAGGGAATCTGACGCCATCTTCTGGCCTCTGAAGGTATCCCCACATAGGCACACACACAATTAGAAATAAAATTTTATTTTACCTGGGGCTAGAGAGATGGCACAATGGTTAAGAGCACTTGTTTGATGCTCTTAACCACTGCAGAGGACTCAGGTTTGATTCTCAACACCCACATAGTGGCTCAAAACCATCCACAACTTCAGTTCCAGAAGATTTGACCCTCTTCTGACTTCCATGGGCACCAGGCATGCATATAGTGCACACAGAAGCTGGTAAAACATTCATGCACATAAAAATAAAACACATCTTTAAAAAAAATCACCTATATAACATCTGAGTTCCTGGAATTCTTTTTTTATTTCATTGCTGGGAACTGAGCTACAGCTTCCTACATGCCAGACAAGCATTCTACCCTTAAGCTGTTCTTAGCTCTCCTGAAATTCTTCTTCTTCTTCTTCTTTTTTTTTTTTCTTTTCTTTTTCAAGACAGGGTTTCTTTGTGTAACAGCTCTGGCTGTCCTGGAACTTGCTCTGTAGACCAGGCTGGTCTTGAACTCACAGAGATCTCTCTGCCTTTGCTTCAGTAGTACTGGGATTAAAGACATGTGCTACCACCATCCTGCTCTCCTGAAATTCTTAATACTCTCTGAAGACAACCAACCCCTTGATGTACTCGACATCAGCCTGTTTATTTCATCTCATTTGTAAGGAAGCAGACTGACAAGCATTTCACTGCTTAATACCCTCTTCCACTTTTGGTTAGTGCTGGGTACTAACCTCAGGGCTTCACACCTCCAGCCTTACTAAGTTAAAAAAAAAAAAAAAAGTTGCCGCTCTATTAATAGAAAAGATAGAAGACAGCCATCAAAGTCAGGAAATTAGTAAAACCTGTACACCCAGGTCTCCTATTCCTTGTGCATCCATAGGACCTCATGTAAACCAGGGCCACCTCAAGCAGGGGAGCAGGTGTGTTCCAGCTAAGTCACAGCAGGCCCAGCAGAAAAAGGGCACCAGGCCCTTGAATTGAGATGTAGAGGGAGAATGTTGAAAATCAAAGGCATGTATCACAAAGACTCCAAAAAAGCACATGGTCAACATAAGTAGTGAGGACCAGCCGATGGAGCTCTTTAGTCAGTAGACACTCCTACAGAAAGTGACAGTATTTCAGAGACAGGAGCAAAATAAATAAATAAAATAAAAGTAAGCAAAAGCAAAAGACAGGAGCAAAAAAGAACCAAGTTGTCAGCCTGGCTGACCTGGAGACCTCAGGAGACTGCTTCTTGTAAGTGCCAGAAAAGAGTCTAACAGCTGTCCTTTTCTTTCCTTCCTTCCTTCCTTGCTGGTCTCATAGAAATCTGACTGCCTTGCCTCCCGAGCATGTGTTCCTCTGTGTGTGTCTGTATACTGGGGGGAGAGGGGAAAGATTGAAGGTGAGTGCCAGGCCCTCTCCTTCTTTAAAAACATAGAATTCACCATTTTATCTGTTTTCAAGGTTTTTAGTATATACTTACAATGTGTGCAGTGTGTCTCCATCACCTGAAAAAGAAACCTCATCCACTCAGCACTGACTCCATGTCCTCTAGTCTTCCCTGTAGTCCCTGTAATTGTTACTGTACTTTTTGTTTACATATTTCCCCATTTTGAACATTTCATGTAAATGAAAAAGAAATCAAATAGCGATTTTTTTTAAATGCCCAACTACTTAGTGTAATTTTTCTTTTCTTTTTTTTTAATATCAGGGTCTCCCTGTATAGCCCAGATTGGCTTCGAATTTGCTATTCTCCTGCTTCAATCTATAGAGTGTTAGGATTAGCACTGTGCCAATATGCCCAACAATGCAACACTCTTAAGGCTTATTATGCTAAGATATACTGGTATTTCACTTTTTTTATATTGAATAATATTCTCTTCCCTGAATACACAATGGATATCCATTTTTGCATCCATCCAGCAAAAGCCCAGAGCTATATTTAGTTCTTGAAGGTGAAGGTGCTCATTGGCAATACTGTTCACCAATTTTGATCAATTTTGGTTATAAATTCATGTGACAATCTTGTTTTTAAGCAATAAGGGCCAACAAACCAACCTGCTACACAGAAGCCTTTGAAAACAAAGTCAGAGAAATCCTGGCCCAAGCTCAGACAGGAGACTGGCAGGAACAGAAGCAAGTCCTTCTGAATGAGACAGTTTGGGATTCTGTTGAAATGACCAAGTAGTTCAGAGTTGCAAGAAAGTGGACAGAAATGCTGCTTATCCCAGGACTGATCAACCCAGCAATAATTAAAATCCCTGTGTGGCAGAATGGATTTATCCTGTCCACCAGTTCTCACAGGAAAGGCCAATCTGCCTACAACACGGATCCATTAAGCAAATGAAGGGTGTGTATCCTATATCCGAGAGGAAAGTGCAGAGTGCTTTTAAAAGGCCAGCATTTAGATGGTCTGCTGCAGTTCCTCAAAGTCAACAGGAAAATGAGAACAAGGTCTATGAGGGCAGAGCAGTACCCTGGTCAAGTCTGACCCCTGCTGGTTGATGAAGTGCCTGAGGTTTTAAATTATTATGCTTTTTATCCTCAAATTAGCACACACACACACACACACACACACACACACACCAAGTTCAAAACAAAGCAACATCTTCACATACACCCAGTAAACGTGATGGAGAGGTACCCTATGACAATGTGCCACTACCTCAGGCCAAGGAAGAGAAGGACTGGAATTCAGCCAGTTATAACAGGTTCCTCAACATAAGCCATGTCGTCCTTCAGCATCTGTATGTATCCTGCCCTCCTCAGCCACTCTCTTTCCTTGCCTTCCTTTTCCCTTTCTCCTTTCCTACCTCTCCTCCTTCCTTAATAGTTTTAATCTACTTTTATTGTGTTTATCCTGTCTTTTCCCCTTTTTAAGTTTAGCATACAAAGTGACTAAGTTTCCTTATGTCATTTTCATCCATATGTGTTGTTTTCTTTTGTTTTCATTCATCCCTTCCACCTTCTCTCCTGCCCCATTCTTGCTGATTCCAAACCTTCTCAAAAACAGTCCCCATCAAAAAACAAAACCGGCAGACAGGCCCGGCGGCGGCGGAGACAAGCAGACGCAGGTAGGCCTGCGGCGGCGGCCCGCGGAGGTAGACGGGCCCAGCAGCAGCCCGCTGAGGTAGA